TTTAGCTCATATGTCCTATCTAAAGCTACTTTTCGTAATATTATGACACATTTTTAGAGGGAGAATTTAGAAGAAAGAATTCTTACCCTATAGACGGCTAGCGTCTTGTAAATGAGCAATGATGACTGCTAAAATTCGACCTTGTTTTTTTGGTGTGTTTCGTTGTTTCGTATTCCCGAAGTGCATATTCGTGCTCCACGAGCTCGTTACACGACTTAGCTTGTTGGGGAGTAACAACCTGGCTTATTCCAGATTTAGCGGAATCCTCATCTCTTGTATCTTGCCTGTTTGTCTCTGCTCCACAAACAACGCCAAGGACTGCAAATACGTGTGGTAAAATATTACTTTGTTTTGCCCCGTGCGATGATCGTGACGATCAACCAAATCAGTTTTCTTTGGTTGAAACTCCTACATACCTCGTACTTTTCTCTTTTAAGGTCATTCCACTGAAATAGAACCTGTATTGAGATTTTTGTGAAACTTTGCCTATTGATTGTTTATATTATGGGAACTTAAATTTTGAAATAAAAATGAGGGGTCCCCATGTTCGTCTAGCAGCAACAGCACCTTGTTTATACCCATATAAATCCTTATAATAGCACCATGATTGTAGTCACGATTGCTTGCTAAATTCACGTTTCCGACGATTGCTTTTTTTTCTACACTGAGAATTGGTTCATATTTATTTTACACAGAGAAATTTATTACTCAATGCAAAACGACAGTAAAAAATGATAGGTCACCATACTTGTTTGCGAGAAAATGACGATTTACCTCTAAGGTGAGGTCCAGCTGTAAACAAAAAGACGCCATTTTTTAATGCGCGCGCCCTAATCACGCGTGAAATTATGCGCTGTAGGGATGCGCAATGCAATACTGGGGAATGACCTTGTGGTCATTCCCCGGTTTTGCACTGTGCATTCCTACTGCGTACAATTTTCGCGTCATTAGCGCGCGCACATGTGCGCGTGTGCGAACAAAACGTAAGAGATTTCCCTCAAACTAAGTTCGATAGCGAGATAAATGTTCCTTTTCTCTTAAACGAGCACAGTGACCTTTTTATTTCATGATTTCAATGAGAACAATATCCTCAATAACTAAGAAAAAAATTAGCAGAAATCTATGGCTACTTTTTGGGCAAATGAAATAAATACCACAGAGAGAGACATAAAGCGTCCAACAGCGCATATGCAAATTATGTTTCCTTTAAAGAATAAAAAAATGCAGGGTATTTGAAGACACTTTTCTGGGACATAGATGAATAAACAATCAAAGAAAGTCAAACTGTGTGTGATAAAATTCGCTTCATTGAAAAATAATCGAGCTTATTTGTTGCGCACGGAGATTTTCAAAAGTCACCAAAATAACCGTATCTGTCAGCATTGTGGCGTGAAAACAAGTGACCCCTCTTTTTATTACGCTTTTAATATCTTCTTGTCCTGTAACAACAGCATACCAAGTTTCTTCGGAAATCTATGTTGGGTTCTTTTACAAGGGGATCACCTTCAATCGAGTACAGAAGGGCAGGGTTCTTCTATTCGGTCGATAAACATTTGAAAACCAAAGGAGATTCACGCAACTTTTGTGATAAACAAATTTGAAAAATGTGAACGCCATGTTTGTAGGCATTTTACTGCTTGATTTCGCGCGCGACTTTCGCGTAGAGTTTTGAAAGCTCGCGCCATCGCGCGTTTTTCGAAATAATCTCACACGCGGTCAATAAACTGTAGGGAGCCACTTAGGCGGCTTACTACAGTTTTGATGGATTATAACAGTCCAACTTTTAACTCTTTTCGAAACTGTTCCAAGATATTTTTTCTTCTCTATTTACTGTTTGCTGACGTCGTTAACCATTCTATGTGAAAGTGGAACAATTAAGGTGGCCGAACACAGTTTTCTCGCGCGCTTTTGCTGATGCAATTCAGCGCGCGCACAAGGACTGCAAAAAACAAATATGCCGTCAATAGAGCGATCCAGCGATCATTTTATTTACTCAACACCCGCTTTATCTGTGCTATTTTTCTCTATATTTGAACGCAGTGTATTGATGGCTTTAGTCTTTTATTACAAAGATATATTAGAAAAGGTAACGATGCAAAGAACCCAGCAATTCTCAGCTTCTTCTTTGTTACCGGAAGAACCCAGTTAAATGCAGCGCATGCGCAGTTGCTCGAAAAATTGAGACCGATCGCTTTTGTAGAAACTTGCCGATTTCTAACGATCCAGTCGTTAGAATTTCAAGAAATTTGGCAAAAACATAGTTCAGAAACCACGTGAATGATCTATCACAAAAAAACTGAATTTTGACATAGGGATTTCTTAATAATACAGAACATGCAGTGAAAACGATTTACGTCGAACTACGAAAATCGTCTATGTCAAAATTTTATTAGAACAGTGTTGACAGAAGGGATTTAATGTCAATTCGTAGTGGGCAAATGAAAAAAATCTAACGACTGGATCTTTTTTTAAGTAAACAAAAAACATTTTTTAAGCCTTGTTTTTAACCAGCCCAGTTGCCATGAAAACAGCACACACCTTAGCCAAAATGCGAGAATAAACCCTTCTGTGTTTAACCTTGACTTTTGCAAAAAATGGGCGCCAAAGCATAAATAGTTTAGAAGTAATGGTGAATTAGGCATAGGTACTTGAAAACTGTGTTCGGCCACCTTAAACGTCAACAAATGGCCAAAACGAACGACCGAGTACTTAAGGAGAGACTGGGCACTAGTAGGTTAAATCACGTTTTTCTCAAAATTTACCCTTATGACCCCACCACAAAATGTCAGGAATAAGAAATTGGCTCTGATTTAACATTCATACAAAGCAAAATAAAAATCTGTAAAACAGATTTTTCGCAAACTAAGAAAATTTGAAATCAAAAATAGCTCAAAATCTTTGTTACAGATTTTTTTTTTTTTTAAATTTTGGCTCTAAACGTGATTCACCCCTAAAAAAAAACTAAAAATTTCATAATGGGTTGTACGGTAGGTTTTGAAACAAACCTCAATCAAAGACTAGCTTTTACAACCTTGGACGAGAATTAAATTGCTCATGCCCTTTATTTAAGCGCGCGCTCATGTGACGCCATGTATCGCGTGCGAGAAAGCAAGATTAATTTAGAGCTCTCTTACCGGTTATTTATCGAGTTTTTTTGTCATATCTTTTCTGGCCCTAGTCTGAAACACATGTTTGAACGGAGTTGTAAAATATTGCTACGTATACTGAAGTGATTTAACGCCTTTCAAGTGCTGAAGTGGTTTTCGTTTCTTCTTAGGGTTGCTTGCGTAATTTGTGCACGCGCGATTAATACTGACATTTGACAAGCAATCATAGCGCGCGCTAGTAGTCGCCAAAAAACTGTAGTGAGCCACCTTAGTAATTTGCGCACGCTCAAAGGAAAACGTAAGAGTTTTTCGATTTTATGACGTCAACATGAGCACCAAAAGGAAAACTGACAGTGAATTTTCTCGCGGTTCCATCGGCGAATATTTTTTAAAATTTGGCTCAGTTTTAACCACATACAATTCCTATAAAATACCCTATTTTTGCTAAAATCTGTCAGACCTAATGAAATATATTTCGAAGAATGACAAACCACAGAATGAACAACTTTGACTTTTACCAGTCCAAAATGTCAGGCAATATCATTTCCATGATGTGGCAAAGTATGAAAAAAATTTACCGAAGGAAAGTATAAATATTAAGGAGTTTAGGCCGAAATGAGGAATATATCAGCCTGCCAATAGATGAGATGTTGCCATGGTAACGGTCTTAATCAAAAAGTTGAACACCAAAAAATAAGCCTTATTTTAACAGTACCCATACTAGTAAATAACTAAGTTTCCTTTTCTAAACCGCGCTCTATAGGGAGAGTGTTCGTAAATTCTCTAGGGGCTACCTTAAAAGCAATTTCCCAGAGATATTTTTTGATGTCCTAACAGGTGGGTTAGTGGAGGCGCGGTGGGCTCATGGCTGGTGCGCTCGTCCCCGGATCGAGCGGTCCGGATTTGAACCCTGGTCGGGGACATTGTGTTGTGTTCTTAGGCAAGACACTTTACTCTCACAGTGCCTCTCTCCACCCAGGAGTATAAATGGGTACCAGCGAATTGTTGGGGAAACCAAACAAATTGCGGGGGGAGTGACCTGCGATGGACTAAAATCCCGTCCAGGGGGAGTAGAAGTACTCCTAGCCGCTTCATGTTAAGAAAACCGGGATAAGCTCCAGCAGCTATGAGCCAGTCTGGCTTAAAAGTTTCACTTTGTTTTTATCAGGTGGGTGTATTGTTAACCCGTAGAAAGTGTTTTCATGGCATTTAAAGCTATGGTCCATAGAAAAAATAAGGCCATATTCTGGTGCTATAGCACATTGCAAAATTTTGCATGTCTTTTCGATCGCGTTTCGGGCTCAAAATTAACTGATATATATTATTTTTCGTTCAGTACCATGAAGACTTGGGCTTAATATAAAAATCCTCGAAATAATCTCAAGTAGCTGTTGTGTGGTGCGCCACGTGATTATATCCAGAAGATTCAGCATAACCGGAAGTAGATTTTGAGTCCAATCAGGGAAAAATCGATTTTTGTACAAAATTCTACCTGACAAAGCTGTACTAGAAGAAACTAACTACAGTCCATTTGATGTGGTAATTGTGGCTTTTTATATAATATGTCAAAGTATTCTCGCATTTTGTTTAAGTTCTTATTACTCTATTGTTCGAACTGTAAGTGTTATTTAGTTATTTATTCGTTTACTTGTTTATTTCTAGATTACATATGTTATTATATTTATCCTCATGAGAATTTACGTTTCGAAACATTTTTCTCAATAGCCAATTCAGGAGTGGTTCGCTTGGTAGGCGGTGGAATTAGCTCTGGACGGGTTGAAGTTTAT